AGTCCGAAAATTCTACCAACGGGTAAAATACCAAATCGAAGGCTTTGGTGCTGGCACATCCTCCTGTAGAGATGAAGAAGGAAACCTGGTGACAGATACAGAAAGCATATTGAGGATCTGGAAGGAGCATTTTGAAAAGCTTCTGGTATCAAATAGTGGCGGTGAAGAAGATACCCCAGAACCAATAAGAGATGACGGTATAGAATGTATACCACCCTAGCCAAGATGAAGTCAGAATAGCAATCAATCGGCTGAGGAATAATAAAGCAGCAGGTGCCGTTGTGTTACAAGCCGAACTATTCAAGACTGGTGGCCAGATGCTGGTCACAAGCATGTACCAGCTCATTAGTACAATTTGGCTAGAGGAATGCATGTCCAATGATTGGAACCTCAGCATCCTGTTTCGTGTGCACAAAAAAGGAGACAAGACGATATGTGCCAACTACAGAGGAATTAGTCACCTTCCCATCGCATATAAAGTGCTATCCAGCATGCTGTGTGTACGATTGAAGCCAATGGTCAATGACAATATTGGACCATATCAATGCGGCTTCAGACCTGGCAAATCCACCATCGACAGGTTTTCACTCTGCGCATTATATCCTGGAAAAAAAACCCATGAAAAACACATCGACACATTCCATCTATTCGTCGACTATAAAGCCGCATTCGACAGCCCTATCCGTTGCGAGGTGTATAAAGTCATGTCTGCGTTTGGCATTCCAGCAAAATTAATACGTCTATGCAGGATAACTTTAACTGGCACAAGATCAGCAGTTAAGGTCGGAAAGGACCTCTTGGAGCCCTTTAATACCGAACGAGGATTCAGACAAGGTTACAGTTTGTCGTGTGACCTTTTTAACATCCTGTTGGAAAAGGTCATACGAGAGGCAAAAGTGAACAGAAATGACATTCTGTACACCAAACAACACATGTTACTCGCCTACGCCGATGACATCGACATAATGGGTCGAACACTGAGAGCGATAACAGCCACCTTTGAAGAAATTGAGAGAGTCTGCCAAAGTAGGTCTGGCAGTAAACGCCGATATGACCAAGCTGATGGTATCAACGCGCAAGACGTCCAGTAGACACGGACCAACTGTGGAACTTGAGAACTACAGCTTCGAGGTAGTCAAAGATTTTATATACCTTGGTACCGCCACAAACAAAACGAATGTCATCAGTTTTGAAATTCGGAGAAGGATAGTGATGGCCAACAGATGCCACTATGGTCTGAGCAAACAACTCAAAAGCAAGGTCACCTCTCGCCAGACCAAACTCACACTCTACAAGACGCTGATGCTACCCGTGATATTATATGGATCTGAAACATGGGTACTTGCGCAAGCATATGAGGCAGCTCTTGGAGTGTTTGGGAGAAAAATTCTCCGAAAGATCTATGGGCCGATCTGCGTTGATGGTGAATTATCGCCGTCGAATGAACCATAAGTTGTACCACCTATTCTCGGACATCTACATTTTTAGACGTATTGAGCTGCAGTGACTAGGTCATGTTGTGAGAATGGATGAAAATGCCCCAGCCCAGAAGGCATATAAAAGAGAACCAGCTGATGGTTCCCACGAGCAAGATGGAAAAATCAAGTGAAAGATAACATTGCCGAATATGGTCTTTCAAATTGGAAAAACCGCGCAAAATACCGACGCGCATGGAAATCTTTTTTAAGCTCGGCTTATGGAACGAAAGTTCTGTCACAAGCCGGCTAAGTAAGTAAATATAACAAGGCATGGATTTTTTGAAAAAAAATCTGAAGACTATTTTTTAAAGATTCTCCACAGTCAGCGATTTTTTAAAAACTCTCCACAGTCAGGAATTTTTTTAAATATTTGTAGAGACCCTCTACAGTCAGTAATTTGTTTTAATATTTTCCAAAGACTCTACAGGCCTGGATTAAAAAAAATATTTTTTAAAGACTCTCCACAGTCAGGGATTTTTAAAATAATATTTTTAAAGACTCTCCACAATCAGGGACTTTTTAAAAAATATTTTTTGAACAAATATAACAAGTATAAGTTTTCTAAAAATATATTTTTAAGACTCCACAGGCCTGGATTAAAAAAAAACATTTTTGAACGACTCTCCACAGTCAGGGATTTTTTAAAAATATTTTTTAATAACTCTCCACACAGTCGTGAAACTTTTAAAAATAGTTTGTAAAAACTCTCCATAGTCAGGAATTTAAAAAAAATTAAAGACTCTCCACAGTTAGGGATTTTTTTAAAAATATTTTCTAAATACTCTCCCCGGTGAAGGATTCTTTTGAAAATATTTTTTAAAAACTCTCCACAGCCAGGGATTTTTAAAAATATTTTTTAAAGACTCTCTACAATCAGGGATTTTTTAAATATATTTTTTAAAGACTCTCCACAGTCAGGAATTTTTTGAAAATATTAAATAAAGACTCTCCACATTCAGGGATTTTTTAAAAATATTTTTTAATAACTCTCCACACAGTCGTGAAACGTTTAAAAATAGTTTGTAAAAACTCTCCACAGTTAGGATGTTTTAAAAATATTTTCGAAAGACTCTCCTCAGTGAAGGGTTCTTTTTAAAATATTTTTTAAAGACTCTCCACAGTCAGGGATTTTTTAAAAACATTTTTTTTAAAAACTCTCCACAGTCAGGAATTTTTTTTAATATTTTTAAAAACTCTCCATAGTCAGGGATTTTTTAAAAACATTTCTAAAGACTCCACAGCCTGGATTTTTAAAAAAATATTTTTTAAAGATTCTCCACAGTCAGGAATTTTTAAAAAAATATTTTTTTAAAGACTCTCCAAATATCACAAGTCTACATTTTCCAAAAATTATTTTTTCGAAGACTCTCAACAGTCAGGGATTTTTAAAACAATATTTTTAAAGACTCTCCACATTCAGGAATTTTTTTAAAACATTTTTTAACACAGTCGTGAAACTTTTAAAAATAGTTTGTAAAAACTCTCCACAGTCAGGATGTTTTAAAAAATATTTTCTAAAGAATCTCCCCAGTGAAGGGTTCTATTGAAAATATTTTTTAAAGACTCTACACAGTCAGGGATTTTTTAAAAAAAAATTTTTAAAAACTCTCCACAGTCAGGAATTTTTTTAATATTTTTAAAACTCTCCACAGTCAGAGATTTTTTAAAATATTTCTAAAGACTCCACAGGCCTGGATTTTTAAAAAAATATTTTTTAAAGATTCTCCACAGTCAGGGATTTTTTAAAAATATTTTTTAAAGACTCTCCAAATATCACAAGTCTACATTTTCCAAAAATTATTTTTTCGAAGACTCTCAACAGTCAGGGATTTTTAAAAAAATATTTTTAAAGACTCTCCACATTCAGGGATTTTTTGAAAATATTTTTTAACAACTCTCCACACAGTCGTGAAACTTTTAAAAATAGTTTGTAAAAACTCTCCACAGTCATGATGTTTTTAAAATATTTTTTAAAGACTCTCCTCAGTGAAGGGTTCTTTTTAAAATATTTTTTAAAGACTCAACACAGTCAGGGAGTTTTTAAAAACATTTTTTTAAAAAACTCTCCACAGTCAGGATTTTTTTTTAATATTTTTAAAAACTCTCCACAGTCAGAGATTTTTTTTTAAATATTTCTAAAGACTCCACAGCCTGGATTTTTAAAAAAATATTTTATAAAGACTCTCCACAGTCACGGATTTTTTAAAAATATTTTTTAAAGACACTCCAAATATCACAAGTCTACATTTTCTAAAAATTATTTTTTTGAAGACTCCACAGTCAGGGATTTTTAAACAATATTTTTAAAGACTCTCCACATTCAGGGATTTTTAAAAAATATTTTTTAGAGACTCTCCACACAGTCGTGAAACTTTTAAAAATAGTTTGTAAAAACTCTCCACAGTCAGGGATGTTTTAAAAATATTTTCTGAAGACTCTCCCCAGTGAAGGGTTCTTTTGAAAATATTTTTTAAAGACTCTCCACAGTCAGGGATTTTTTAAAAACTCTCCACAGTCAGGATTTTTTTTTAATATTTTTAAAAACTCTCCAGAGTCAGAGATTTTTTAAATTATTTCTAAAGACTCCACAGCCTGAATTTTTAATAAAATATTTTATAAAGACTCTGAACAGTCAGGGATTTTTTAAAAATATTTTTTAAAGACTCTCCAAATATCACAAGTCTACATTTTCCAAAAATTATTTTTTCGAAGACTCTCAACAGTCAGGGATTTTTAAAACAATATTTTTAAAGACTCTCCACATTCAGGAATTTTTTGAAAATATTTTTTAACAACTCTCCACACAGTCGTGAAACTTTTAAAAATAGTTTGTAAAAACTCTCCACAGTCAGGATGTTTTAAAAAATATTTTCTAAAGAATCTCCCCAGTGAAGGGTTCTATTGAAAATATTTTTTAAAGACTCTACACAGTCAGGGATTTTTTAAAAAAAAAATTTTTAAAAACTCTCCACAGTCAGGAATTTTTTTAATATTTTTAAAACTCTCCACAGTCAGAGATTTTTTAAAATATTTCTAAAGACTCCACAGGCCTGGATTTTTAAAAAAATATTTTTTAAAGATTCTCCACAGTCAGGGATTTTTTAAAAATATTTTTTAAAGACTCTCCACAGTCAGGGATTTTTTAAAAACTCTCCACAGTCAGAGATTTTTTAAAAATATTTCTAAAGACTCTCCACAGTCATGGATTTTTCAAAAAATATTTTTAAATACTCTCCACAGTCCGTAATTGTTCAAAAGATATTTTTCTAAAGGCTATCCCCAGATCAGGATTTATTAAAGGTTATATACAGTTATGGATTTTTAATAAATTTCAAAAAAATATATATATCCTTAAATCCTAATTTTTTTCCATTTCAGGACAATGTTTTGTTGATGAATGTGATGGTAAGCATGGTTATATCCACAGCGCACACAGACTTTTGAACAATGCCGTATATAATTTTTTCGAGATGAAAATATTGGAAAAAAAAATTAAAAATAAAATTTTGAAAAATAACTTACCCGACATACGACCATCACTGGACCTGCCATTTAGCGATGCTGCTGCTACAGCAGCCGATAATGACGGTGGTGGGGAACCACCACCATTCATTGGCCCCGTTGTTACTGGTGATAGTGCGGATGTTGCCACTACTGTCACAGTGCCATTGCCATTAAATTCGTAATCGTGATGGTTATTGGCGTGAATTAATTGACTACTGTTGTTGTTGTTGTTGTGAAGGTGGGGATGATGACCGTTGTTGTTGTTGCTGCTTGTTGCACTATTTGTACCATTGCTTAATACCGTTGCGGTAACATGTGGATGGTGGTGGTGATGTTGTTGTTGTTGGTGGGTAGTAGAGGCGGAGGACGACGACGACGACGAGTTGTTGTTGTGATGACCATTGCTGACATGCTGGAAAGTGGCAGCAGCAGCTGGTGCCGATGATGACACTTGCAAATTGCCAACACCATGCCGTATATTAGAATTTCGTATATTTATACTGTTGTTGTTGTTACCAATAATATGGTGGCCATTGGGTATCGCCGCCGAACCTGTCGTTTCAAAGGCGGCATGCACAATAAAACGCTGCTGCTGCTGCTGCGGGTGATGATCACTGAGTATTGCCGGTATTGCTGTTGCTGCTTGTGGCGATAATTTCAATTTCTCCTGCTGCTCAATGTATTGAGCAGCTTCGAGGAGCGTTTTTAAGCCCTCCGACATATCAGGTTGACCCACAACAAGGAATATGAAACCTTCTGATCAGTGCTTCGTATTTTTGTCTTTGGCGGGTTGTTCTTTCCAACTTGTTTGTCGTTAGCTGGTAATCACAATTATGATTTCACTCAGTCGCTCTCACTCTCTCTCGCGCGCTCGCTCTCGGGCACTTGCTTTTGAGCCTTTTTAATACATAAATGTTTAAAAATGTTGAAAGCGTTTTTAAACACTGTTTTGCAGGGCGGGTTGGTTCTTTTTGGCAATAGGTAATCTGAAAAGAAATACAAAAATTAGAAAAAAATTATTAAAAATATTTTTTTTTTAATATTTTTCTGAAAGTTAACCTAAGTTGCGGATATTTTTAAAATTTTTTTCTAAAGCCTATCCCCAGGCTTGGAATTTAAAAATATATATTTTTCTAGAGAATAGTTAAAAATAGTTTTTTCCCATCCTATCCCAAGGCGTCGATTTTTTTAAAAATAGTTTTTAAAGCCTATCCCCAGGCGTGGATTTTTTAAAGATAGTTTTTAAAGCCTATCCCAAGGCGTGGATTTTTTAAAAATTGTTTTTAAAGCCTATACCAAGACGTGGACATTTTAAAAATAATTTTTAAAGCCTATCCCAAGGCGTGGATATTTTAAAAATAATTTTTAAAGCCTATCCCAAGGCGTGGATTTTTTAAAAATTGTTTTTAAAGCCTATCCCAAGGCGTGGATTTGTTAAAAATAGTTTTTAAAGCCTATCCCAAGGCATGGATTAAAAAAAAATTTAAAGCCTATCCCAAAAGGTGGATTAAAAAAAGTTTTTAAAGTCTATCCCAAGGCGTGGATTAAAAAAAAACAGTTTTTAAAGCCTACCCCAAGGCATGGATTAAAAAAAATGTAAAGCCTATCCCAAGGTGTGGATTAAAAAAACAGTTTTTAAAGCCTATCCCAAGGCGTGGATTTAAAAAAAATATATTTTTCTAAAGCCTTTCCCAAGGCGTGGATTTAAACAAAATATATTTTTCTAAAGCCTATCCCAAGGCGCGGATTAAAAAAATCTAAAACCTATCCCAAGGCGCGGATTAAAAAAATCTAAAGCCTATCCCAAGGCGTGGATTTAAAAAAAAAAATTTCTAAAGCCTATCCCAAGGCGTGGATTTTTTAAAAATAGTTTTTAAAGCCTATCCCAAGGCGTGGATTTTTTAAAAATAGTTTTTAAAGCCTATCCCAAGGCGTGGATTTTTTAAAAATAGTTTTTAAAGCCTATCCCAAGGCGTGGATTTTTTAAAAATAGTTTTTAAAGCCTATCCCAAGGCGTGGATTTTTTAAAAATAGTTTTTAAAGCCTATCCCAAGGCGTGGATTTTTTAAAAATAGTTTTTAAAGCCTATCCCAAGGCGTGGATTTTTTAAAAATAGTTTTTAAAGCCTATCCCAAGGCGTGGATTTTTTAAAAATAGTTTTTAAAGCCTATCCCAAGGCGTGGATTTTTTAAAAATAGTTTTTAAAGCCTATCCCAAGGCGTGGATTTTTTAAAAATAGTTTTTAAAGCCTATCCCAAGGCGTGGATTTTTTAAAAATAGTTTTTAAAGCCTATCCCAAGGCGTGGATTTTTTAAAGATAGTTTTTAAAGCCTATCCCAAGGCGTGGATTTTTTAAAAATTGTTTTTAAAGCCTATCCCAAGGCTTGGATATTTTAAACATAATTTTTAAAGCCTATCCCAAGGCGTGGATTTTTTAAAGATAGTTTTAAAGCCTATCCCAAGGCGTGGATTTTTTAAAAATTGTTTTTAAAGCCTATACCAAGGCGTGGAAATTTTAAAAATAATTTTTAAAGCCTATCCCAAGGAGTGGATATTTTAAAAATAATTTTTAAAGCCTATCCCAAGGCGTGGATATTTTAAAAATAATTTTTAAAGCCTATCCCAAGGCGTGGATTTTTTAAAAACAGTTTTAAAGCCTATCCCAAAGCGTGGATTTTTTTAAAAAATAGTTTTTAAAGCCTATCCCAAGGCGTGGATTTTTTAAAAATAGTTTTTAAAGCCTATCCCAAGGCGTGGATTTTTTAAAAATAGTTTTAAAGCCTATCCCAAGGCGTGAATTTTTTAAAAATATTTTTCTAAAGTCTATCCCCAGGCGTGAATTTTTTAAAAATATTTTTCTAAAGTCTATCCCCAGGCGTGGATATTTTAAAAATATTTTTGAAAGCCTATCCCAAGGCGTGGAAATTTTAAAAATATTTTTTAAAGCCTATCCCATGGCGTGGATTTTCTAAAAATAGTTTTTAAAGCCTATCCCAAGGCGTGGATTTTTTAAAAATAGTTTTTAAAGCCTATCCCAAGGCGTGGATTTTTTAAAAATAGTTTTTAAAGCCTATCCCAAGGCGTGGATTTTTAAAAAATAGTTTTTAAAGCCTATCCCAAGGCGTGGATTTTTTAAAAATTGTTTTTAAAGCCTATCCCAAGTCGTGGATTTTTTAAAAATTGTTTTTAAAGCCTATCCCAAGGCGTGGATTTTTTTTAAAAAATTGTTTTTAAAGCCTATCCCAAGACGTGGATTTTTTTTCAAAATTGTTTTTAAAGCCTATCCCAAGGCGTGGATTTTTTAAAAATATTTTTCAAAGCCTGTCTCAAGGCGTGTATCTTTTAAAAATAGTTTTTAAAGCCTATCCCAAGGCGTGGAATTTTTTAAAAATAGTTTTTAAAGCCTATCCCAAGGCGTGGAATTTTTTAAAAATAGTTTTTAAAGCCTATCCCAAGGCGTGGATTTTTTAAAAATAGTTTTTAAAGCCTATCCCAAGGCGTGGATTTTTTAAAAATAGTTTTTAAAGCCTATCCCAAGGCGTGGATTTTTTAAAAATAGTTTTTGAAATAGTTTTTGTTTAAAAACATATTTTTCTAAAGCTTATCTCCAGGCGTGGATTTTTTTAATATTTTTTTTTTTTTTGAGACTATCCCAATGCGTGCTTTTTTAAAAAAATATTTTTTTTTTAATAACTATCACCCCAGATTAAAACACCCTTTTTATTGTTACTGTTTATGATATGTATGTAATACAATACCAACCAACTTCAAACCTAATTAGGTTGATTATAAAATTAACACATTTGAGATTATTCGTATCAAATGGACAAAGAGCGGAATGAGATGTATAGAAAGGGATGGAGTAAAAGAAAATGGATAAATATGCAGATTAAGTGAAAAAAAAACCCCGACTATAAATAATAAATATGAGTGTGGCCGTCCATCATGTAGACAGAAAAAAAAGAAAAACGAAAGAAACAAAGGGAGAAATTGAATGGTTGAGTGATACGAAGAGAAAAACAAATGATAAATAAAATCAAGAGGCAAACAGAAGGTCGGGACACCCAGAAGATCCAGAGTGGAGAAGAAGTAGAAGAAAAAAATAAATTCTAAATGATAACATTTTGTTGTAAACACAACACGGTGGAAATGGGATGGGCCAGAGAATTTAGATCTGGCACAGTGGTATGATGAATAATTTTTTAAAGACGTGAAGTCCAAAAGCGTGTGGACTTAGAATTAAGGATATTTTTTGAGGGACCATCGGTGTCACAAGCAGGGGTTTATTACAAATATTTTCTGAAGGAGTGTAATTTTTTTTTTTTTATTTATTTATTTTTTTTGGGAACCTTCTCTGCTAGAGTGATGGATTTTGGGGCCCTCTTCACTACTACCTCTGAGTTTTTTGGCCCTTTTTTTTGAGGGACCTTCTACAACACAAGCCTGGATTTTTCAAGAAAAGATTTGATGTATTTTTACCACTGTCCCTCATCATCACCGCCAAGCCATGCACAGTGGAAATGTCGCATTTAGGGATGGGTATATATATATGTATAAATAATTGGCAACGCATGAAGAAACCTGATAATGTGAAAAGCAATGTAATTAGTTTACAACAACAACAACTATAAACAAGCGAAAGAATGTCAGGCAAAAATAAAAAAATAATATAAAGAAAAAACTGGATAAAGAACGGAAACTCAAAAGACAACAAGGAGAAGAACAAGAACAACAACACGTCAGACAAAAAAGTACGACCACTGGAATTTCCATAGAATAATTAGCAGATAATGTTCACAACAACAACAATTATAATAATAGCAACAACCAACAACAAGTTGTAGGTTGTAGAACAAAAACTAAAAAAAAAAAACAGCAACATCATCATAATCTCCTGCCCAGATAGACATCTAGGCAGCTAGGTATGTAGCTTCACTCCATTAACATGTCGTCTGTCTTAAGGTCCGATTACACCTGGAATGAAATTTCTTAACTTTAAGACTTAGACTTAATGTCTAGGCAGTTAAAGAGAGAGAAAATGAAAAAAAAACTAAAAGGAAAACATTTTTCTTAGTTAACAGGTCTTTTGGCTGGATATTTTATTTAATTTTATTATAATTACGAAGTATGAGGTTTGCTCCTTTTAGCACGACTGAGGGGAAATATCGAGTGGATTGCCAACAGCTTGTTGGTGGAAAATGACTTGCCTAGTTGAGAACGAATGATAATGATGGTGGTGGTAATTTATAGGAATTTCCAAGAATTTTCCAATTAATTTATGGAAATGTATATCAGTGCTGTGTAATCTGAGAAAGAATGAGAAAAACAATTCAGAAGAATTTTTTTATGAAATGTAAAGATTTGTTTTGAGGGAAGGCAAAAAGAGGAAAAATGCAATATTTAGTTGGCGAAAAATTTGAATGCGGCATTTGTTCCGCAGTTAAATAAGTATGTTCTCAAAAAATGCCAATTGGTTCCTAGTAATAACTGAATGATCTCTAGGAATTCTGACATAAATCGACTAGTCGAAGGACCAATATACTGTAAACACATTTTTATTATATATAAAAAATATTTACTTTCATAACATATTTGTTTTAATTGTTCACTATATCAAAGAACCAAATGATGCGTTATAAAAACTGCCTAGTCGAAGGACCAATTTACATTAAAAAAAATTATTAGTTTTGGTTACAGTTAGTTTTATCGAAGGACCAAGTA